TAAATAAATACGTCTAATCTTTTATAGAGGCACCAAAGTAAATAATTCCTAAAAGTAACAGGCCTTCTTTCTCACACAAACTCAACCCTCCGTTTGGTGTAGTGGTTAAGAGCATGGACTCTAACCTGGGAGAACCGGGTTTGATTCCCCACTCCTCCACATGCAGCTGCTGGTGTGACCTTGGGTCATAAGCAGTGATCCCTCTAAGCTGAGTTAGTGTGAGCTAGCTCACAGTTTTTTAGCCTCCAGCTCACACATTTTTGTCTTAGCTCAGGAAGGACAGCTCCAGAGCAAACTAATTTATGCAGTAGCCAAATCTCTCGCTCACAACTTTAATGCCAGTAGTTCACAAAATAGAATTTTTGCTCACAAGACTCCACAGCTTAGAGGGAACATTGGTCATAAATTCTTTCAGAGCTGTTCTCTCAAGGGCAGTTCTCTCAGCCGCATCTACCTCACAGGTCTGTTGTGGGGAAGGAAAAGGGATTGTAAGCCGCTCTGAAACTCATTCGGGTAGTGAAGGGCGGGGTATAAATCCAATCTCTTCTCCTCTTCTTCAATAATTTTGCAGGACAGAATATCCCAGACCCAACCTCCAGCTACTGTGCTTAAAACAACACAAAAAGCCAGCAGCCAATCTGGGAAAGGCCTCCGCCACTCAGAGGAAACAACAACACTAGCCCAGATGGCCTAAAGATCTAACCCGGTACAACTACTTCCTCCACCCCTGAGTCCATAACCAAAGCAGGCACGCCCGGAGGCGGCGTGTTTGCTGTGGAAGCCTCGCTTCCCCACGTGTGCTTGTGCTGAAAGTGGGGGGTGGGGGTGGGCATACACTACACACGCCCTTCTTCATTAGCTGACTGAAGAACCCTGGGCCCAACTCGGAGGCCTCCCCATCCCGGCCCACAGCAACCTGCCGGGACTCCTGTACCCAACGACCATCAGCACCGGTGCTCTGCGCTGTCAAACCCTCACTCGCCTCGCGCGCACTTACTTGTCTTCGTTATCGGACATGCTGCTGCTGCTGCTGCTGCTGCTGCTGCTTTTCAAGAACAGCCGCCCGCGACAGCAACCAAGCAATACGCACCGTCTCACAGAAGAGACAGAAAAGGACGAGTACTTCCGGGTTAGTTCTGACGTTACCGGAAACGAATAGCTGTCATGTTAAAGGGAACCACTTGCTCGCGCAGGTGCAGAAGAAATACAGGGTTGTCATGGTGACGGGAGCCGCCGGCTCGGGTAAGAGCAGGAAAAGCACGGTCTTTTACAGCGCTTTCGCCCCGCTGCCTATGTGGTTACTATAGCGGAACCCTCTCGGGAACGGGATTTTTGAGATGATCGAAGTTGGGTTCCCAGGGTGTGTGCGAAATACCCAGCTATCCTCCGGTTGTTGCCCCCGAGCTTTGGTGTAGTAAGCAGCCTCGTGACGTCTGGGAAGGGAAGAAGTCCTAGTTGTAATAATTTTTGTAAAAAATATTAAAATATTACTATTACTATTTTTTTCTCTTTTCGAGTTTCTATTTGTGGTCCACAAACTGGGAGAATAAGATGTCCCAGAATAGAATGAAGCGCCTGTTGTGATAAAATGATAGGTGCATATAAGCAACAAAGTGCAGAACGCGTTTTAAGAGTTTTACTTAACTTTCTTTTTTGTCCTCAGAGTACACAAACTTAATACTTACTTTGGGAACCTTTTGGGAACACTGATATATTCTGATGAAGTTGATGTGTTTTTATGGACAGCATTCTCCGTATGCACAAAAGGTTCTGGGTTTCTTATGGTCTTTCCTGCTACTGCTCTTAAGGGATCTTCCAGCAGCCTAATTAAATAAATCAGGGTCCCAGTCACACGGACTGGAAAATGCAGGGGGGAAGCGTGGCTGTTTGCCCCGGAGCAAAATAACGCGCGGCCGCCTGAGCACACGTCCCATCAAGGTCCTGTGGTTAGGGGGTGAGGTGCCGATCACACAGCTATCCAGCAGCGCGGCAAAGGAGCGGTGCGGCGTGATCACAGCAGCGATTGCTAGGCGCCGCTCCCATGGCAAACGGGTATTCATTTTACTGCAGTTTGTGCTCATGCGCTTTTGCGCATCCTGCGGAGACTTGGGGGGGGGAAACCCTTGTTTGCAAAGGAACATCGGCGGGCACCGGATGCCACGTGAGTCCACCGGAAACACGATCAGACGTGTGCCCTTGCCCCATGGTGTCCGGAAACCAGTACCTCGTAGGTACTAGTTTTTAAGTCCGCATCTTCGGCGGGACGCCACGGGGTAGCCACGGGAGTACTACACTTCCCAGATGTTGCGGTGTGATCGCGCCCGGAAAATCCGCCTATCATCCGTATCTTTAGCGGGGGCCCAAGTTTGGATTTATTAGTTGTAGAATCATGGCACTGTCAAACTGCCACAAGATAAGAACAATCCACTCCTCAACCCCCTCATTGGTCAACTTATGTAGCTCTCCCTTGTGCCAAAAGCAGCAAGATGATTCACCACAATAAAGCGGCTGCAAAGCAGTAACTCTAGTTGTCCCAAGCAAGTAAGCCAAGTCATACAAGGCAGGGGAAGACAATTGCATTATCACAGTCCCTCACCAACCTGGTCCAAGTCTATGTGCACTTAACTTGGGAGTAAGACCCACTACATTCCCTGTCTTATTTCTGACTAAACATGCATGAAATTGGACTGCACATAAGGCAGTGGTTAAGACGCTGAACTGCAGGCTGTGGAAGGTCAGTAGTTCAGCAGTTCGAGACTCGGGTGCCGCATGATGGAGTGAGCCCCCATCTCTAGTTCCAGCTCCTGCCAACTTAGCAGTTCGAAAGCAAGAAATTGCAAGTAGATAAATAGGTACCACTTCGTTGGGAAGGTAACAGTGTTCCGTGCGCCTTGGTGTTTAGTCATGCAAGGGAACCTTTACCTTTAAGGCAGTATATCAGACCATAGGCTATGTAGCCGACTTGTCCTGTGCCTTCCTAAAGCATATTTTGGTAGCATACACTCAACACCTTGTTTTAGTAATATATGGTTCCACCGAGTAAGGGGTGGGTGGAAATCATCTATGGGCATGATCAACCAAGAATGCTTTGTTGTGACTCTCACTGTGTGGACTGGCCTGCTTGATCAGGTCAGGAAAGCCCCAACACCCATGTTACTTCTCAGAATAAGCAAAGCAGAAATGTTCTGGAGGACATTTTTTATAAAGGGATTATAAAGTGTAATAGAGCAGCTCAATTTTGTAAAGGACAGGATTGTTGTCTATTGCAATGATTACTGCATGCATAATCTCCCTCTTTTTATTGCAGCGTCTTCTGCTTTACCTTGTAATCTACCTTCTGCCTTAGACAGTTCTCTAATTCTATAATCCTAGTCATGCTGCATTGTTTAATGGATGTTTTATGTTGTCAGATTGAATTGCTTTTCATATTTTATAATCCTCCTGGAGCCTCCCTGAGACAAGTGGGCTATAAATGAAATACATAAATAAATATATCGACAGTTTTTAATTTAAAAACTTTGGTGGAAAGACTGAGGGTGTAGATAGAACATGCCTTTGCATTGTGGTACCATGACTCAGGCCAATGTGGGGATTTAACAAATCCTGATTTAACAGTCGTATCTGCAGAAAATAATTCTCTTTGCTTTTGAAGGTGCCACAATGGCTTCCCGAGAGAGGACCACACCTCCTGTGGCAAAAGGCACTGGATTCTGGCATGCTCCCATTGTCACGGAATACAGCCCAGAAACACAGGAGTTATTAAAAGGTAATTTGAAAGGAAAAACCGTTATGAACAAGAGTGTTTAGCATCCTTGATCAGCAATTGCGCGTCCTGTTTCTGTTTGGCCATGGGGCTCATCTAAATGTCATTTTGAATGTACTTCCTTGTATTTGTGCCCTCTGTTGTAGGGCGCACTCCACTCACTCATGGAAATCATTGGGATTTCTCACATAAGGATTTTAACATATATCTTTTGTGTTTTAGTGATGATGCAAGAATCCAAACTAACAAATTTCCAGCAACGTCATCTTAGAAACTGTATGAAACGTGAGTCATTCATCTTTTTCCCTATGAAGTGCAGTGGAGCTGTTGGTTATTGTTTCCCAGAATCCTAAATTCGGTTCAGCTGCATTCACTTCACATAAGCCATCTCCAAAGAAACAAATCTTCATTGTGGAATGGGGGAACATATAATGGGCTCAAAAGGTCAAAAAGGATAAGTCACAGATGGTGGTTTTTTAATGACTCAAGTTGTAGCTCTCCCTGTAAGCAAGGCTGCCTTGTCTTTCTAATCATTGCTGAGTAGGATCTTCAGTATATACTATAAAATAACATGGGGGGGGGAGGTTAAAGTTAAGCCTAGGAATCTAAAAATGGTTCAAGCAAGAAGATTCCACGTTAGATAGTGTATACCCTGCTCCATTGGGTCATCACAGCCAGAGACCCTACTAAGAAGTTGCAACTCGAACACAGGCCCATTGAAGGAGGAAGGAGGTAAGGCTGCACCAGTAGGTCAGAAAAAAGAGGAACAAGGTGCAAGGCTGAGCAGTTTTATTTGATCTCGTAGACCCGTACACATTTTGCTGTATGCTTCATCAGGGGATCTTACATAGAAACTTCTCTGGCTCCCACCTTGAACAACTGGAACCATTCAGTTCAAGGTGGGAGCCAGAGCAGTTTCTATGTAAGATCCCCTGATGAAGCATACAGCAAAATGTGCAGGGATCTAAAAGATCTAATAAAACTGCTCAACCTGTACCATTGAAGAAGGAAACAGCAGCGACCAAAACATTCGGTGACCTGAAGAGGAGGAATGAATCCACTGCACCTGATTTACTTTATTATTTTACCTATTTTTAAAAATTGCTTTATTTTAAATCACCTCAGAAGTCATAGTGGCTGATACAACAGATAAACAAATGTTGAACTTCCACCAGGCTACATAGCTCTTTGGTTCAAATCTGAGCTCCACTATGTAGGCTCTTTCTAAAGACACTGCCAGGCTCACATTCAGTTCCTTTATCAGTAAGGTACAAGCTTTGCCTCCCTGATCTTCTTTCCTTTCTTAGGAGGTGATTCACTGCCTCTCCACTGCAACCCAACATCCAGCAAAGAACCACAGCTTCCAAAGGCTGTTTCTTCACAACCGAAGGTTTTCTTGTCATTCAGCCCATTTGGGAGACCTCACCTTCGCCCTGCTGAGGCCTGCCAGGCAGGTGATGCCTATACCCGAGAGAGATTCAGGCCACGAGCCACCCGTAAGTGACCATGCTTGCAATGGATAATCTCACAGTCGGCTGGTTTGGAAAGGGGGGTTAAGGCAAATGATACTTAGCATTTCCATGGCACTGTAAAGCAGTCTAAGGTCATACATTTCAGAAATCGTTATAGCTGTCAGGTAGGATGGTTTATATTCCTATTTTGAAGGGGGAACTGAGGCTGGCAGCAACGTGTCTAAGACCATCACTGAGTTCATGACTGAGGCAAGATTTGAACTGGGAACTTCCCTGCTTATACAGTTTGCCACTGCACTGTACTAGTTCATTTTTTATATCCCCATATATCTGAAACCTCCAGTTAGTCAGAGTTCAGCTGAAATTTTTAGAGGAGCTTACTGAAATCTTCCACATGTTATTTTCTCCTCCTAACCTCTGCAAGCTTAAAGCAGCCCATCTTCTATCACTAAATCCGTTCTTTTTTGGCTGGGCATTTCTGTGCCCAGCCAAACTCTTCTGTGTGTAGGTTCTTGTATAAATGTGGGCGATTGATTTTGTATCAGAAGTTTTACCCCAAATGTTTGCACTTTTCAGAACAACGTATGCAGTGCTGTCAGCACTTCTCCCTCACACTTCAATTATTGTCTTTCTTTCCAGGAGACCTAGAAAAGGAGAAAGAAAGGCTCCAAAATATCTTAGCAACAGGAAAGGATAAAGTGGAGGGAGCGCGCCGGAAGAAGCCAGTTAAGGTGGAAGAGGTGGTACCGGAACCTGATCGGTTTGAAGAATGTATGTAATCAAATGGGTCAAAAGCAGTGGTTTGATTTTGTGGCCTGGGGAGACAGAGAGGGAGGCAACTGTCCCCTCCTGGAGCACTGGAACTAGTCAGATGAAAGGAACAGGTGTATCATCAGCAGAGGTCATTTCGGGGGGGATCGCAGTTCCCCCGGGTGAGATACGGGGGGTGGGGCACATGATGAAGCCCCGCCCCCTGCTTCCGGCCCTCATTCAGCCAGGAGGAGGCAGGAGAAGAGGGAGGGTAAGTTGCTTCCTCCCTGCCTCTCCCCACCCCTGCCTGCTTGGGGCCAGGGAGGGCCTTCGCGGGGCTTCCTTGCACTCCCGCCGGCCTTGCAGGTCCACCGCCGGGCCCCTCATGGGGCTCGGCAGTGGAGCTGCAAGGCCGGCGGCGGCGGCCGGGACCATTGGGGGCGGGGTGTGTGGCCTTATGACACACTTCCAGTGATGTCAGGGGGTGTGGCCTTATGACACACTTCCGGTGATGTCAGGGGGTGTGGCATATGCTAATGAGTTATGCTAATGAGTTCCCCTAGCTCTTTTTCTACGAGACGACCCCTGATCATCAGGCTGAGCGAGAGCTTTGATATAGAGACCTGGCTGTATTTTGCCCACCCCTTATGAACAGACTCTGAGAACTATTGCCTAAATGGGAGCCAGATCAGTGACTCTTTTGCACTGATCATCAAATGATTTCATGTACTTCTTTTCTGAATCAAATTATTTTATGTATATTTTCATTTCCACATGAAACCTGCTTCAGCTTGTGGTATAGACTGCTCCCCACACAGATGCTACAAAATACAGGACTACAGGAGACTGACAAAGAAGGGGGGGGGCAGTGGGCACTGCATGGGGTGGCTTCTCCTCAGGGCATTTACAGAGCAGAGCTGACCTTCTGCAAGGCTTTTCCAGCTATACAGGCAGCCAATAGTGGTAGCACCAACTGAAGGCATGCCTACCAAGCAGGAAGCAGCGTATAGAGGTAGGCTCTTGTACTGCTTCCAGCCTTGGATCCCATGCAGGATTTCCACATATGAAAGGAGGGATGATTTTTTCCAGATTCCCCCCTCACACCTCAGTCTTCCGACTCCCACCCCCCATGCTGACCCTGGGTCCTGTCTCCCAGGAGCTGCACTGCAGGAGAGAGAGAGGCAAGATAGTTGTGCTGTGCAGACAGACATCTCGTCTGTAAAAATTTCCAGTAGACCCAAGCCTCAGTTTACACACACCAGCTACCCATACAGAAGCAAACTAATCAAGCTTCCCCCTCTGGACTGATGGCTGTTTTTTTCATGTTTAAAAACCATAGAGAGAATATAGTGTGAGACACAAATGGAAATTGTGATGACACAGAGTTGGGAACAGTAGCATTTCTGCCTTCTGACTCCTCATCCCATGTAGCATTCTTTTTGTTCCATGCTCAGTGGTGAAGGAAGTTGAAGATCGGAAGCAGTTTCTGGAAGAAATGGAGGCTCTGGGACAGGGCAAGCTGTACCAAGGGATCATACTCACTGAACTATCACAGGTATTTGGACTTTTCCAATTCAGGAATCCTAGCATATACAGCATCGAACATTACTAGTCCAGCTTTGTAATGGGGCAAAGATTAGGCAGGAGTGTGTGTGTAACTAGAGAGGAAAATCTTTTTCCAAATTAGCGCTAGCTGGGGGAAAGCAAGTCCAGCTGTCTACTGCTGTGTGTTAACATAAGAAGAGCCCTGCTAGATCAGACCAATAGTCCATCTTGTCCAGCATCCTGTTCTTACACAGTGGCCAACCAGTTCCTCTGGACAGCCAACAGCAGGACATAGAGGCCAAGGCCTTCCCCTGATGTTGCCTCCTGGCTCTGGGACTCTGAGATTTAGTGCCTCTGAATGTGGAGGTTCCCCTCAGTCACTATGGCTAGTAGCCATTGATAAACTTATCCTCCCTGAATCTATCTAGAGAGCCAGTTTGGTATCTTGAGAGTTTTGGAGAGCCAGCTTGGTGTAGTGGTTAAGAGTGGTGGACTCTAATCTGGAGAACCGATTTTGTTTCCGTACTCCTCAAGAAGCAAGCTGGGTGACCTTGGCTCAGTCAGAGTTCTTTTAGAATTGTCTCAGTCCTACCTACTTCAGGGTGTCTGGTGTGGGGAGAGAAAGGGAAGGCAATTGTAAGCCGCTCTGAGTCTCTTTTTCAACTCTCTCTGCCCCATGCATCATTTTATAAACCTCTATCATGTCCCCCACTTAGTTGTCTCTTGTCTAAACTGAAAAGCCCCAGGCTCTTTAGCCTTTCCTCACAGGGAAGGTGCTCCAACCCCCTCATCATCCTGGTTGGCCTCTTCTGTACTTTTTCCAGCTCTGCAATCTCCTTTAGGAGATACAGTGAGCAGAACTGCACACAGTATTCCAAATGAGGCCACACCGTAGATCTATACAGGGGCATTATAATATTGGCCGTTTTATTCTCAGTCCCTTTCCTAATAATCCCTAACATAAGATTTGCCTCTTTCACCACTGCAGCACACTGGGCTGACACTTTCATTGAGGTGTCCACTACGACCCCAAGATCTTTTTCCCTCTCAGCCTCATCAAGTTCAGATCCTATTAGCCTATACCTGAAGCTGGGATTTTTTGTCCCCATATTGCACTTACCAACACTGAACTTCATTTGCCACAGTTTATGGAGGCCCTCTTGGAGCTCTTCACAGGTTTTCACCATCCAGAATAATTTTGTGTCATCTCCAAACTTGGCCACTACACTACTCACTTCTAGTTCCAGATTATTTTATGAATAAATTAAATAGTACCAGCCCCGATACCGATCCTTCTCAGACCGCACTGCTTACTTCCCTCCATTGTGAGAACTGTCCACTGATGCCTACTCTTTGCTTCCTGTCATTTAACCAGTTTTTAATCCATAAGAGAACCCATCCTCTTATCCCATGACTGCTAAGTTCACTCAGGAGTCTTTGGTGAGGTACCTTGTCAAAAGCCTTTTGAAAGTCCAGATATATAATGTCTAGTGGGTCACCATTGTCAGCATGTGGGGGGGGGGAATCCTATATTCTCATTACCACTTACCAACACTGTGTCAAGTGTCAAAAGCCTTTTGAAAGTCCAGATATATAATGTCTAGTGGGTCACCATTGTCAGCATGTTGCGGGGGGGGGAACCCTGTATTCTTTAGCTTGGAGAAAAGACGACTGAGGGGTGACATGATCGAGGTTTATAAGATTATGCATGGGAAAGAGCAGGTAGAGAAAGAGGTACTTTTCTCCCTTTCTCACAATACAAGAACTCGTGGGCACTCCATGAAACTGCAGAGCGGTCGGGTTAGAACGGATAAAAGGAAGTACTTCTTCACCCAAAGAGTGATTAACACATGGAATTCACTGCCACAGGAAGTGGTGGCGGCTACAGGCATGGACGGCTTCAAAAGGGAATTAGATAAGCATATGGAGCAGAGGTCCATCAGTGGATATTAGCCACAAGGTATAGCTAGGGGCTCTGGGGCAAGTGATGCTCTGTCTTCTTGGTGCTGGGGGGGGGTCAACAGTGGGAGGGCTTCTAATGTCCTGGCCCCACTGGTGGACCTCCTGATGGCACTGGTATTTCTGGCCACTGTGTGACACAGAGTGTTGGACTGGATGGGCCTTTGGCCTGATCCAACATTGGCATCTCTTATGTTCTTATGTTCTCATTACCACCACCTCTTTTGTTTTATTTGCAGAAGCTACGGGAGATGGAAATCATTGATAAGCAGAGAAGTGAAGAAGTGAGAGAGGCGGTGGCTAAAGCCTTCAATGTAGGCAACAGGCCTGATCCTGAAAGCAGGGACCAAGAGTAGTCCTTTCCCATTCCAGAATGTGGCCACTGCTTCCTTTTGCTACCACAGGGCTAGGCCTCCACAGAAGACAGTATCAAGAATGTTGGTGGTGCCACCCGAGGCCTTTGGCAGAAGACAGTTACAAAAGAGTTTGTACTGCTAAGGGTTTTTTTGCATGGAAACAAGAGACCAGGATCACACCGCTCCTAGCTTTTAACAGCAGCCAGTGGGTTTCTGCATGGAACTAGTTAAGGTCATAAGGATACTTTCCCTCTAAGCTGACTAGTAAGGGTGGAAAGAAAATTAGTGTTGTCTGCTACATCAGAAGGAGACTTGACCTTGATTTACACATGATGCAGACTGAAGCAAAAGAACTCACCTGCAGGGCTTTGCATTCAGGTCGTGTCTTGCCTAAACCATTCCGCCCCCTGTTCAAAGCAGATTTGCAGCGTAGCTCTTTTCTGCAGGTGGAGGCCCAGTTTAAATGAGATGCTGTCGAGTACAAAGCCCTGCAAGCGTTAACTTTTGCCTCAGCCTGCATCACATCGAACCCATGCCTGAGTGCTTCATGTGTTGTTAGCCTTATTTCTGATTTCATAGCTGCCTCAGTAAGATCGCATGCACACAGGGACGTCATGCCCAAACTACAAAAGAAAGAGGCAGCCACCTTTGTTTATTCATGTGTCTGCGCCCCCCCCCCCCATTTCCATCTTAAGCGTATGTGTTTATTGCTAAATTTTACCATGAGAGCATGTGCAGGCAAGGGCCCTGGGCTACCCTCACTACACCCCATGTCCCAAAAACACTTTTCTCCTCAGCCCGGATCATTTCTGGCATTGAAAGTGGGCAGAGTGGTCAATCCCATCAAAAGTTACTGCTAAGAGCGGCGGGGGGGGGGCAATTCCACCTCCCCCCCAGCGGACCTGGGACTCCCTCCTCATGCTGTCTCTAGGAGCCTCTGTTGCACGGGAGCAGCATCTGAGGGCTCCAGCAGGATGGGGTACGTGAGGAAGTCCCACACATGGCTGATGAAAACCCCGTCCATTAGTAGAGATTTACTGCAGGATCCAAGGTGGAGCATCCAATGACAAAGTGGGAGACAGAGAGCATTCAGTTTCTCTCATCCATGTGTCCTTTTGCTATAAGAATTAAACCCTCCAGTGCCTGCTTTTAGGTGTGAACAGGAACAATGTGGCTGCTCCATCCAGCCTACTTTGCCCCTTCAGTTGCTCTGCTTCGGCTTAAAAAGAAAAAGGGAAACTAGTTTGGAGTAGGCAGCTGAAACATCTGGGTCCTCCATTTGCCATTTGAGTAGATACTCTTTCTGCTGAAACACAGAAATAAACACTGTAACAGATGCTAAATACAACGGTTTTGTTTAATTTTTGTTCCCTGCATGTCAGTGGAGGTTCTGGTTAATACAGTGTAATGATGTCCATTACAGTCAGAGGATTTCCAATGAGAGCGATCTGGTACCTTTTAATAATACAAGTTTGCTTTGTTTTTACAGCGGAGAAGTTGTGCTTTGGGTTCAGAACTGGGGGTGACCTTGCCATGGGGTGCTGATATCATCCACTTGTAGGGAATGAGAATGTTGCCCCCAACTAGGTCTGATAGCACTGGGGAACTTAGCTCCCCCCCCCCCAACAAATGAAGATTGGTAAAACATGTATTTTTTTCAATGTAGTTATCAATGTATTTAGATAAGGCAGCACAGCAATTTGCTCTGGGGTGGTAGTCTCCTCTGTTAACAAGAACTCAAGACTAACAGCTGACTAGCCAACACCTACAATACTACCAGTGTCTAACTCAGACAAAACAAACATTTTAATAAATAACTCCCCGACTGAGAGGAGAAGGCAGGAAGCAAGGAGGGAAGATGCCTCTCCTCCCCCCAAAAGCATGTGTGCGCGCGCGCATACACAAAACAAAGCACAAAGGGACGTGGGGGCTTGACATTCAGCTAAGAGAGACCCTTTTGCATACTCAGAAAAGTATATACAGACCAATGTGGTGAAGGAGCAGCTGAAATGCCCCCTAACCGGGCTACAGGGTGGCACTGGTGAGCAAGGCCAAAAGGGGACCTCGTAGGTCTCGAGTACAGCTTGACCTCATCCTCCTATGCTCTAGCTGTGGGCAGGGAATGCGTGGCTCTTCCCCTGCCTGCCTTGTCCCCTGAGGAGCACAGTGGATGAAATTTGTAACAGCAGCAAGAGAGGAGGGGACCTATTTGGACCTGCACTGATTTCTCCTTAGTCTTCCCTCCATGCTTCACTGAAGAGTCTCCAAGATATCCCGCATTCATAGGACATCTCCTTCACTGGCAAGGAAGGCTACCAGAAGTAGGGAACCGGTTAGGTTTTTGGCTGTTTCTATAAGCCCTTGAGAGACCTCTCTAGTTTAACAGTTTAAGCCAACAAAAATAATCCTGCTCTCAAAGCCCAAATGTTTCCGGTGACCAGAGCAGCAGGATTTTTGACAAACCGGTAAGGAGAGAAGGGCTTTCAGTACGGAACGGGGTAGGGCAAGGTCAATGGAAAGTCTCTCCCCCCCCACCCTCACCCAGCCCAGAAGATAAAGGTTCGAGGCACACGTGACTCTCACAGTTGCAGAAAGGGAACAATTAGTGCAAGTTTCCCACAGACACCCAAATGCTGTACTGCTGAGAACCATTATTATTAAAGAACATACACACAACTGAGGAAGTCTAAAGCTATTTCACTTCCCTCCACCCCACCCTGAAGCTTAAGGAACAAGCAGCTCTCTCCTCCAGTCTGTCCCTTGGTAATCTTCAGTGCTGATCGGACATGCCATGCCTGCCCCCTTTTACTAGGCAAAGGAGTGTCTAAGGTTGGAAGTTGACGGAATTCCTCTGGAAAGAGCCGGCTTTGGTGTAGAGTGAGGCACAGCTTCTAAAAACGGGCAGGAAGCAGAAGTCCTGTTTGCCCGGTGCCAGGCTAAATGGGTCACTGCAGTCAGAAAGCATGGCATCCTACCAGCTCCAACCTGTTCTAGCTTTTCTCCTTGGGAGATTTGTTTTTGGACTCATGCTTGTTCCCAAGTAGCTTCAACACTTTCATGGGCTTGAATTTTCCTTTTTTCTTGCTGTCAGCCTCTGCCTCCTTGTGAAATTCTGGAGAAAGAGATACACAGTAAACACAGCCTTGGGGGTAATGTATGTATGACAGCTTTCATGCAAATGATCACACAGAAATGACAAATTCAAGCAAGTGCCTGTATGTAAAGATGTGCAGAACAAATTCCGGTTCCTATTACTAGAAAAGGTAAATTTTGTAACTGAACTACATTAAGTAGATTAGGCAAATGAGCATAACTTGTATCTTCATGTTCAAACAATTCAGATTGTTCTATAATCAAGAACATGCACTATTTGCAGAATTTGGAATGAGGTTTTATTATTATTTTTTTCCCTTGAGAAGCTAAGATGGCATTTCTGGTTGGGTTACCAGATGTCCTCTTTTTAGAGGACATGTCCTCTTTTTCTGGTATCCGTCCTCTTTTGGGCTGTTTTTTAAAAAATGTTGAAAATATTCTCTTTTTGGGTTGGAAGATTAGGAACATTCCTAGTTAGCAGCAATTATCACATCTTAAATAGTAGGGGTATCTAAAATGAGATTTGTCATAGTGATCACTTGTTTGAAGTAGTCAGGAAATATGTCTTCTTTTTTTGCAAAATATGGGAACCCTAATTTCTGGAAAACTGCAAGATGAGAAGGATCACCTCTGAACAGACTCACAAGCCTTTTTTATGTCAAACATATGTGCCTCACAGGTAATGGCATGCAGTTGGTCATTGGCTGGTTGCACCCAGACATGCCTCCAACCCTTTTCTTCGTGAAGATATGATCTCAAATTGGAATTTTAACCACATATTCAGGGGTAATCCCAGGGCTGTGTGTATGCCATAATTCCATGAGAATACAGAATAAATACAGAATATTGTCTGGGTTGCCAAATTCTGTTTCTTGAGAATCTTGCAGTGCCCCCCCCCCCCTTTTAAAGGAAGCATGTTCCTAGCCCTCATGGCTGAAGAAATGCTTGAAAATGCATGGACAGCACCTGGTAAAATCTCAAGACCTAGAAAGGTTCCCACTGTTCAGGGACAGGGTTTCAGTGCCCTTCCTTGCCCTGTCCCAGGACTAGTCAAAGCAGAAAAACAAGTGTGTCCATGAAAAAAAAGCATGACTTGTGGTCTTGTGAAGTGGCCACAGGGACAGGGGAAGGGGAGGGCTTAACACCCCTTTTCTCCGGAGACAAATGGGGTGGGAGGAGGGGAAGGACTGGCATCTTTGGCACACTGTGTCTGAGGTTCCCCCTCCCCACACAATCCCTTCTGAGGGATAAGGGGAGCTCAGTCTCCTTTGTCCCCTCAGGTGACCTTTGCAGGAGGCCATTCCTAACCAATGCTTTTTATGTTTTGTACGTATTTTAACTCTTAAAAAAAAATAATAACGATGTACGTCTGGGAAGAGGGTTAATTTTAATAGTTGTATAATGTAATTTTATCATGTGTTTAAACCACCTTGATGGTCTTTAGAAGGGCAGAAAGGCTGGATACAAATTCTGTAAATAAAGAAATGTGCTGCTCCTTGTGTTGGCTGAATTCCCCCTCGCCCAGCCACCATATTTAATGTTCCTGCCTCTAACCAGGGCTGGCATCTACATGCTGTTTTGGGAGTAAATAGGTAACTGGAGGATGGTGGTGGTAAACTGCTTGATAGGCCATATTGCCCCACAACCAAGGTGGCACTGAAATTAGGAACTACAGTTTACATTCCCACTTAAAAATTTGCATTGTGGAATCCACTAAGGTCATAGTAATTTTCCAAGTCTGTTAAAAAGCATTTAGCCAATCAACAGTCTCCAGAAACACCATTTTCTCCCAGGAAAAGTTAAGGCCGCATCCCGCTTCTCACTTACCTTTCTTTTTAATCATGGCTTCTAACATTTTATCCTCTTCTTCTTCTCTGGAAAAAAAAGGAAAGCAAGACTGAGATTTTTGCCTTAGCAAGAGCAGCTATGGCGCACCTTATGTTCACGAGCTATAGAAATTACTCTTCTCTGAATACAACAGCCAATATTCCCTAGCTATACCATCCAGGCCAGGCATTTTCCCCAACCCACTTTCACCCAAGGTACTAGCATCAATGCACTTGGGCACCCGCAGATTTCACAACCACACTGTGCAGCTGTGCTATGCAATGCTGCAGCCAGCACTGCCTTGCCAATCGGTTACCCAGAAGTAATCAGAGGATGTGCACTGGTTTTCCCCAGGCTACCTTTGCCGGTCCTCATCCAGGCAGTTGATGATGGCATTCCGTTGTTCGATTATGGTGACCAGCTCTTGCATCAGCACCTTCTCCCTGGCCCGGTCCTCATCTGTCCACTCTTTCTCTACCCAACAAGAGAACAAAATGAAGTCACGCAAGGGCTTCTGCTCACAACACAGAAGAGGACAGTGACTGACCCCCTACTCTGCCCCTTCTTTAATATGCAAGGTCTTGGAAACACAGTGATGACTGGACCCAGGCTCTGGCTTTCTATCCTGGAAGGCAGCATCACAGGTATAAAAAGGATACTACCTTATTAAGCAGCACGAGCAAGGAAATCAAGAAAGCATACAATTCCTGATTTTCTTGTTTGAGACTGAATGGTCATTATATTCAAAGTGCCTTTGAAAAAGTGCTCAAAGTGCATTTCTCCCCTTTGTTGACTAGGAAATTCTTCCCTGTATCTTTCTACTGTTTGTGTCTTGAGGGATAGGGCTGGCCTGGCAGGAGGCTCTTTTCTTCTTGTTAGATTCTGGTCTATTACTATAAACAGAAAGAGCATGCTGAAAAGCTGGCCCTGAGGCACAGAGAGCCCTTTCCTTTATTCAAGAGTGCTCTCTGCTGGCAGTCCGGCGGCTGAAACAGAC